CCCCCCCCACACACACACACACACACACACCACCCTTTCTTGCTGGAAAACTGACTGATCAGAATGCCAGGAACGGGAGAATACAGTGAAAAAATTGCACAAGCTAGAATCACCACCACCCAGAACCCCCCACCACCCTTTCTTGCTGGAAAACTGACTGATCAGAATGCCAGGAACCAGAGAATACAGTGAACAAATTGCACAAGCTAGAATCACCACCACCCAGAACCCCCCACCACCCTTTCTTGCTGGAAAACTGACTGATCAGAATGCCAGGAACGGGAGAATACAGTGAAAAAATTGCACAAGCTAGAATCACCACAACCCAGAACCCCCCACCACCCTTTTTTGCTGGAATACTGACTGATCAGAATGCCAGGAACCAGAGAATACAGTGAACAAATTGCACAAGCTAGAATCACCACCACCCAGAACCCCCCACCACCCTTTCTTGCTGGAAAACTGACTGATAGCGCTTTAACTCAAAACTTGTCTATTCAGGAATTTATATATATCTGTATTTATAGATCTGAAACAATTTGGAATTTAGGAATTGACAATGTTATTAATACCACAAAATTGTGTGGATGACACAGATTATATTCCATCTCTCTGTGTCCTATATGGTTATGCAATCAAGTACATCTATACAGGTATAACTCATCTAATTATTCCTGCAGGACAGAGACATTTTGGAACTGACAAATCTGTGTGAATCCATGTACATTGGAATACTATAATAGACAAGCTGGAAGTCATTTAAAAATTGAACGTTAAGTTCATATCCTATAAATTCATGCAAATTCAGAGTTTTCAATACTTTAAATATGTGTTAATGCTAAGGTTAGATTTATTTTCATTGTTTGTTTGTTTTTCTGATTAAATGGAATAATAATGTTGGCGTTTCTAAATTGAGAATACTAATGTATGAATCCCTGAAGCCCAAATCATAGTACATTCAAGGCACCATATTTTAAATGCCTAGTTAGCCTAAGTGCCTAGTTAGCCTAAGTTCCTTTTACCCTTGGAACATGTACGACATACTAGACCAACATGTCTACAGTAGGAAATAAGAATCACATTTCACCTCCTTTGGCTTTCCTCAGCACGTCAATTTCTTTGTCAATGAAATTCCGCACAGCCTTGAAGACATGGTCCCATGTGAAGAGTCTACCACTTCGATTATTTTGGTCAGAATTGCTATCCAGACACTGTATAACTTTAGACTGGGTTAGAATTCGCTTGAAATTTTCAGCTTGTCTCTGTAAAAAAAAATAACATGATCAATTAAATTAAGGCAATGGCTTTTGTGGTCTCTTTGTATGAATTTGGAACTGGTTTGCTTTATGTGTTTCAAGGAGGACTGAAACAGTTGAACCAGTGTTTTACACTAGACAGAAATATTTATAGAAACCATGATTTGACAGGCTATCAAACTCAGTAAACTGGCTTGAGTGCAATAGATGACTACATCTCCAATCTAAAGCAATCTAATGCAATGGCATCAAGTGTTTTTCTAGATCACTG